TGTGTGGCTGAGGCAGTGGCCAATGTGGACCTAGTTTGAATATTTTAGCATGTTAGAAAAAAAATGAAGCTCTGAGTATTTCACGAAACTCATGATAAATAATACTTTAGCTTTTTTCATCGCTTTATTTTCAAGGACATGATGCATTAAATACTATATCTATCGGACAGGATCAATGCGTGTGTGTATAAATAATATTTAACATAATGCCGCTGCCTTGAATCCCCTGTCTGCATAAGACGACCATTTTCTTTTGTCCGAATCTGAACGTCAATTAAGTCGTACTCAAATTGAGATTTTTTTTATTGTTTTAAAAGGAAGGAGATGAGATATCCATGCTTTATTTTATTCCATCTTTTCTTCTTATTCCAAGTATAATAATGATGTTTATGGCAGCCTTACTGTTTAGTCTTACCTAATTGATTCACAGGGTTTGCTCAGAGAAGTGGTTTTATAATGACTTCTTATTGCAAAATAATGAAAAAAATGGAGAGGAGAGGGATTATAATCCTTTATCTGAGTCAAATTCTTTTAATTTTTTCTACAAAACAAGAAAAAAAATATATTACGGTTCATATCTTTTGTTTTACAAATATCAAAACTTTAATCATTACCTTACAAATGAAAAGTGGGTTTAAGTTATTAGACTTGAAGGATAGAACGAAAATATCCAGAAAATTTACAAAGTTATTTTTAATCCTATAGAGATGAAGACTGCACGACTCCATTCCCTTTCAAGTTTATTAAAACTTTGCCTCCCCTAAACCCAATATTATGCTTGGGATGACTTGGTTGGGAGAAGTGTAAAGGTAAGTTATTAGGAAATTACCTTATTGATTAACTTAGGTAAGTTTTATATACTATTTTGATTACTTATTGAATTTACCCCTATTTGAACCCCTAATTTATAGTTAATAAAGAGGTATTTTGGTTTTTAATATTAAAAATAATATATCTATTTTAAAATAAAATTTCAATTTTTTGACGTAAGAAAAAAGTTCATGCTTCAATTAATCTCACTCACGCATTGTTTTTGTAATTTTCAAAATAAAACTACTCCCGCATTGCTTTGATTTTTGATGAAATTAAAACGAGAGAGTTTCCAAACACAAATCAAGACATATTTTAAGATGAAGTAACTTCTTTGGAACAATTGATGTATGATTTGCTTTTTTTTTTTTTTTGGGTGTCAAAAAGTTGAACTTTTATTGAACTTTAATATACAGCACAGTATGAGTTTTCTCGTATATGCAACACAATATGATTTTTTTTTCTTTTGCATATATACAGCACAAAATGAATTTTTTTCCCCTTTTGCGTATATGGCAGGATGAGAAACATAAATTTTGAGGAGTGATTGGTGAAACGTGGTTGAATGTTACAAACAACCAGTACTGACGAATAAAGCAATAATAGATTATCTGGAGACAGTGTGGGATTAAAGTGGGATTTCCCTAGATTTCCACTACCGGAGACTAATTTCCGTTCAGAATCGTACTGAAAGCAAGTGTTTCCCTTGAGAAGGGGGAAGGGTCAAGTGGGACCCCCCCTTGCATCCTCAGTGCTCTCACCCAATACAATTTATTTATAGTCGCACAAGTTCGTTAAAGCAGAGCCAGAGGCGCTCCCTCTCCCATATCTTTCAACAATTATATAATCACCCTTGATTAAACCTTCAAGTAAGTGGCGTGCCCCTTGCTCATTTTATTCTCACCCAGTTTATTCCCACTTTCCCTTCCTTATTGCGAGATTTCCCTGGGGTTTAAATAATTAAATAAAAGAATGATAACATAATATTTATATATAATCTTTATATACTCCTCCAGTCATAAATATAAGACCCTTATATACTAATGTGTATAAAAGTCTTATATTTAAGACTGGAGGAGTACTATATATATATATATATATATGATCTCTCTCCAGATTTTGGAGCAAAGGCTTGCGGGAATACTACTGATTAATTACTTTTTTTGGCTGACGAGAGGGAGGGGCCAAGCAACTTGAGTTTCTAGTGTGTACCACGCAGAGAAAACTACACCCACCCACTTTCTCCCCACGCACCGTCGACCTTTTTGGTTGTGAAGGGTGGCTGACGTCGACGATAATTTATTTAGTTTGAGGAAGGTTTTAATGTTAAAATAAATTAGGAGGCAAGTTCCTCTGTGACCATACATGGTGGAATCCTATGAAAGAATGGGGCGAAGTTTGTCCGTAGCTCCAAAAATAGTTCTAAACAAAGTAGTGCGTGTACGTCTTTACACGTTGCTCTCCCTGCTTTCTGTTTTAGATTGTCTTCATGAAAACTTTAGGTCATCCTTTTGTGCATCCAATAGTATTATAAAGAGTTGATAAAAAAATAAAACTAACAAATTATTAATCCTCCCAGCTGGAATATATATTTTTTTTTAATCGCGGTAGCTAATTGATAGATTTGTTTTAGTTTTACATGTAAGATTTTAATCTGCTTTATTCCCAAATTTATCTTCCCCCCAGAAATTATGCGCTATTGATTATCCATATTAAATAGTTTTTATGAATAGGATAATTTTAATACAAATAATTGAATAGCATATTTTTGGAAAAACAAAGGTAAATTTTTAAAAGTTATCAACTCAAATAATTTTTCTAAATTTTATAGATGAATTATTCAATTTTTATAGTTAGAATAAAAGATAAAGAGAAGATAGTACAGAACGATATATTATTTATACATATGCACCGCATTTCTGGACAGCCTCCTCTTTTCAGTTGTTTCGTTGGACATTGCCACCTCATTAGATAACAATCTACAGCGTTGAGGTTCGGGATAGACAAAAAGACGGCGAACCAGCACGCGCGAGGGGAGTGGAGGCAGCGTTGGTTGAAAATTCATAGTGATGTGGGCAAAAATCATGAGATAAACATGAAACTGGTCTAAAAATAATATTTAATTATATGATAAAACACTTAATAAGAAAAAAAAATCTGGTTTCGAAATGGCTGTATACTTGGAACTGCCACAAATCTACAAGGGAGCAGGGGAAGAAATATGACGGACAATCTCTACACACTCAACATATTATCTAGATCTACTGTTTACGTATCCAGGAGGGTAATTTTTGAATACCCAAAAAACCATTGTTACGTTGTTTCAGTTTTAAATATAAAACCATTTTACAGACTAGTATAAAAATTTTATATTTAAATCGGAAGAATATTAAATTTTATTTAATTTATGCTGCCACTAACCCAAAATCCTATGCCAACCACTGTTTAGAATGTTAGTTAATATCAAAGGTCTGCGGAGATGGCGTGGGGGAGGTCATTCTGAACTGTTCAATCATGTGTTTGTCATTGTTGGTTTGGATATACTGTGGCCTATGGGATGGGAGCCCGTTTCTGTCCCAATCCTGATATCCTGATATGACCGGATGCCCCATTTCTCTTTTTTTTTTAAAAAAAAAATACTAATTTTTTCTATAAAGTTTTTTATGTTATAATGGTTATATTTTATTGGGCTTTTAATGATAAAAATATTATGTAGAAAGCTTAATTATACAATATAAAAAAAGTGTATAAACAATATTATAAAAAAACACTATATAATGGCTTTATAAATTATTTTATTGAGGAAGAAAATTTTGTTAAGATAATACTACAACTTAAGAAATAAAAATCATTACAAAAAATAATTATTATTAATTAATAAATTGAATAATCTAATAATAATTATTAATAAATAATTTTTTAAAAAAAATATTTTAGGACGAGACAAGACGGGACTGGATGACCCTGTCCAATCCTGAAATTTTTTTTATCCCGTCCTGTTGCAAACTCATCGGAACAGAACAAAACAGAACGAACACCCCTACTGTGGCCTCCTACTGTGGCTTTTAACCTATTCATTCACTACATCTGACGTTTACCATGTCGCATGCGCACCCAGTGACTTTCAATGCCTCAATGAAACTGATTGTTGACCCGTACGAGTGGCTTGTATATGGAAAAATTCATATCGATCGACCAACCATGTTATAAATATCAGCGTATGCATAGTAATAACAATCTTATGGATAAACAGCTTATAAAAAGAAACGAAGGAAACTTAACTCTTTTTACTTTTGAAAATTCATTATTAACTGTCATTTTATCTTGGATGGGCGGGCGGGATGTCTACTTTTTTCTTGGAGGGAGCAAGACCGCAAATGAAGCACTAGTAACTGCATATACTTCCAACCATTCAACAACGATAAAACGTAGCATATCCATATTACACTAGTGCAAGTTTCTTTATAACTGACGTTTTCATAGACTGTGCAGAAGCATCCAATATAGTAACAGGGGACAATCAACAACGGTCACCCCGATTGCATTTGCTATTAGGCGAACAAACTCCAGTTGAGATTTTCATTTCTTTCACTCACAGGGAAGCTATACAGAATGTGCTGGCATTTAGGCCAGATCTTCACACTTGTAATTTTCAAGCCTAATAGCCGATGACCATACACCCCCATGTCCCAAGATGGTTGGTGATGTCACTGCAGGCCTGAGTTCGTGAGATATGTGTAACCTTCCAGGTTTCTCTTCACAAGTGATATCCATATGTGCGCGCGCGCGCGTGTATATATATATTTAAAAAAAAAACGTTTCATTATATTTTACCAACCAGCTACGTTCCCTTGCCTGAAACGTGAAGAAAAAGGCTCTACGATGGTTAAAAGTGGAATTTCGCAAATAGAAAGACTTGCAAATTGTTAAAGAAGCACCAAAAGGACCGAAACGATGATCTCTCCAGACTTCACTATGAAGCACCTCCTCGCTGTCACGATATCCTATGTTAGTGCCGGTGAGGCCATCCACACCATACCTCTTTCTGTAAAGAAAATAAGAATACAAGAAAGGAAAATATACAGCTTTTTTTCCTTATCAACATACCACAGTTTGAGATGGAACACAAAGGGGACAATGATGGCAAGTCACAGAATAACAACGTCCAGCAAAAAGACAAAACTTGGTGCCACCTAAACTCTGTTTAAGAATAAGGTTATGGAAATGAACAAAGTAATCTTCCAATAAACTAGTCACCCCAAACACCACCCAAAACACTTTTAATACATTTGTTTTTTTCCAAGTCATGACAAGTGGCCGTGTAGAGAATAAAGAAAACGGAACTGAAGAAAGATGCATGTTGACAACTTGCATTGGCATTCTACACGGATCAACCGCGGTAACGGGTGAACCAATCCATTACACATTAAGCTTTCTCCGGCTCACAATAAGCAGGATCAGGCGCCAGTAATGAATCACAACATTTCTTGTGATTTCCTCACACAGCGACTAACCTTCTTCTTGAAATCGTCTCTCCTGTCTCTCCACTCCTTCTGCGACAATAAATAGCAATATAGGTCTCAGAGCAACCACAAAAGAACATTTGGACACTCGAGATTGAAGCAACAAGAAATTACAAGGTCAGCTATTGGCATATACATCATACTGTTTTAGACAAGATATCGAGAGAGCCAACTGCATCATAAGAAAGTAGATGCACACTATCTATAAAGTGGAATTACTGGTCTGATTAATTCTTTCAAGAAGGTTAAATATTGCATCAGACTATCCCAGACACGATACATAAACATATGCATGCCGCGTCATAAAATCAGATCAGCAAGACATTGAGCTTCCACTTATATCAGGCAAGCCGTATCATGGGTATCAGGGTATTGGCTCCTCTCACTTGTGCAGTATGTACATAATTAAAAAGGACATGCCTGGAGGATATCATGTTTAAGTTGAAAGAGAAAAAAAAAAAAAAGGACATGGTATTGTTGCATGCGGCTTGTACGATTTGTCCATAATAATTAAATTGGGATGTTTGTCTCTACTGCTCCGAGAACTCTCAATGGCTTGGCAGGTATTATGGCTAAGTTAGGATCTAGTCTTCGTCCTAAACGTGTGTTTAGAAGACATGCCTGAGTGTATTAGCCCCTCCGTTGATAGCTTTGTACCCGGGACCTTTCTCTCCCTCAAGTTGAATTAGTGAACGGGCTTATCCCTACCTTCCCGCACTACAGAAGAAGAGACCATCTCTTTTGGTTCTCTTCCATTAACCTACAGTTGTCCATGCAGATTTAAATCAAGAGTCTTGGACAAGCCCCCTCATATAGTGAAAAGTTTTTCCCATCATTCGGAATCAAAACTTAAATTAGGTGCCTGAGCTTGAGGAAATACCTACAGTAGTAAATTGAATATGCACAACCAAAACTATCCAGGGACTAGAATTGTGAAGTTCGTAAGATAGTTAGATTGTTCATGTCCTTCTGGGATACATAGAGTGCAAAACAAGGCAAAATATATTTACGATGCAAAACAAAACAAAACAGAGTTGAGAGTAGAAAGTCGCTCAAACACAACGATTTAATAACAAATAACAAAACAAAAGCATGTAAAAAACTTACAGCAGCTTCGACGTTTGCTGGAGATTCATCATTAGGACTAGAAAGCATAGAAATGATACTCAAAACTATACTCTCTACCTGCACGATAATATGCAAAATGTTACCAGTTAACACATTTTTGGGGGGAAACAGACCATGTTGTGAAACAAGTACTATGGAATCAACATCAGAACTGGATATGGAGTGACATACCATTTCCACAGTATCCAGCAAAGTTAGGAAATAGCAAATGAACCTTGAAATTTAATAATCCCAATTAGTTTTGCGGCATTAAATGTTTATAATCTTCACTAGCAGTTTAGCCTTTTTCCATTTAATAAATAGTGCTGGAAAGCTCTCGCTTCAACTTTGGAATTTTATTCTTAAAGATCTTCTTTCTTTTCTTCTTTTGGGGCAGAAGTCTTAAACAGTCACTAATCACAAAATAGATATATGTAACTCATGCAACTTGTGTGTTAGAGACTAGCCACAACGACAGATGCAAAAATCTCCCACTAAATGAGTGATGACAAGGAGAACTCATAATGTCTATTTTACTGATAGTATTGCACATACTTCTTTAGTTCTTTAAAGGAAAGAGCTCCAACCTGACATGACCTACCATCAGATGTGATGCAAATCATACAGGGAAAACATTCACATGCAAACTTCTTTCCTATTATAAATCAAATACAAGGCACAAAACTTTGAATGTTTAAATACAGCATCACATTAACTGGTATTCTGGTACTTTCATGCGCTATCTTCACTGATCAAATGTTTTCGGATAATTAAATTACAGCACTGGAATCTTCTGCAACTCGCGCTTGGCATATCAAGTAAAGGATAGACGCATGTTAAGAATATTCTCTCAACTCTCTGACTTATAGCATCATATGCAATATCAGTACCGCATGAGAACATTGACGAGAAAACCTCACCTACATATCACATATGATGTGAGTGACAAACCAGACAATTGATGCCAGTAAAATAATTACAATATATAATGAGTTTCTAGCACATGTCCAGAAATTACATTGTTTAAGCTTAATTATTTTAAAAGAGCATACACATGTTAAACTGCAGTTATGCTGATCTCAAATCTACTATCCACGGCCACTTTGATTTAGTAAGCAAAAACAAAGCTAGGCCACCAGCCTGATAATGAAAGACAGATTCTGATATTCTTTCTTTTTTGAAAAAAGTAGTACATAGAAAGAAAGACTACGGTCTTATATTATCACTGACCGTATGAACAGGTGTCCAGCGCTCACTTGCAAGTTCGTATCCATTTGGATCCTCACCAGGAGGATGAAGGATTGATATGCAAACCCGACCATCAGGATATACTACAAATGGAACAGCAATATAAGTTAATTTTGTGTCGTTTTAATCGGACCAGGAGCATTGAGTCCAAAAAAAAAAAAAAAAACTCCCGAAAACCAACCATTTGGATGCCATATCTCTGAAGTGAATTTCACTGTTGGTGGGCTGTTTGGGTAATTTGATGGAAAACTCATTATAGCATTGAAGAACCCCCCCTCACTGCAAAACAGCGAAGCAGTAGTCAGTAAATTTTCAATGCCAAAAGAGAAAATGGAAAGAGCACAAATACCAATCAGCAGAACGCAACCAACAAGAGGCGTTTTCTAACATTCACAAAGGAAAACAAAACCTACACTCTATCTAAGTACCAATCATGAGAGTTAGAAAGATAGCAAGCAGTTTGATGAAGTGTAATCCTTTTGCAACAAAGGAGATACAGTTATAAGCAATTTCGTCTAAATTACTTTCATCAGGTTCCCCCTCATCATTCACGAATGTTATCCGTTTTCTCTAATCATGTAGTGAGGGTTGATACAATTTTGAAACTCCAGTACTCCGCTATCCCCTGCCCTTTTCGCTCTTCCTCTTAAATTAAATATACGAACAAGAACAAGGGATTCATGCAATTAATATCTTGATGAACCCATGATGATGAGGATACAAAAGAAGGAATCTTGCAAATTTAAAGCCATTAAGAACCACCAAAACTGAAGCACTCCAACCCAAATTCGAAAAGGCGCCGTAAGTAATTGAAAGTTTATCTTTCGGAAACCAGAGCCCTCCGGCTTACTTAACAAAATATCGAATAAAAAATTATGACTGGGGGTACAAGGGAAATATAAAACTCGAATTCACAATAGGAAATCATATTTATTTTTGTTAGGAGGAGAAAGAAAAATGTAATAAGCGCTTACTAAAGAGTATCGGGAGGTCCAATTATCGTGACACTCCATTCGAATATGTTGTTTTCATCTACTAAACCGGCGGAGAACCCGTCGACGGGGTTTCTGCAAAGATCTGAAACCAGCAGAAGATGAATTAAAACACCGCGGAAAATCCACGCGAAACCCTTTGCCCCCTTGCGCCTTTTAACAGATAAATAATACGAACACAAAAGCAAAGGCAGGAATTCTGTCGCCGCTAACCTTTTAGCTGCTTTTGAAGGAGAAGGCTAGCTTGGGATGCCATCAACCGAGGGGATAGATACAAATAGCTCCTACAAGAGAGAATGGAAAGGGAGCTCCAAGATTGCGAGAAAACAGAGAAACCGGGAAGCCGACACTTCGATTACTTATAGATAGAGAGATGCTTCCTCAATGCGGGCTCCTCCGCACCTGTAGCCTCTGCGCCCGGGTGGTGCAATTGGGAGCTTCGATCCTATGCGACTTCCTTGTTGTATGTATACTATCACTTCCAAACAAATGCAGCCACGTAAGGAAATTGCTGCTACTGTTGTCACCGGGACGCGAATAGATTCTACTACGTTCACGGGTATACCGTCTACCCACCGTTGGATTTATGCCTCAGAAGTGGGGTCCAAGTTTCCTTTAAAGAAAGAAGTAAGGGCACTTTTTATCTCATTAATAATTGTTATATTCTCTTCTTTCTCAGCCTCACCATGATAATTCACCTATCGTGTTTTTTTTTATCGAAAATTTTTCTCAAAAGCAGCTAATTAAAAGACCTTACTTTAGTAGTTTGCCCAAAAAAAAAAGACCTTACTTTGGTAGGAAAAAAACTTTCCACTACAAGTTCACTTGTTTTTTCATTGATACAGTTTAAATTTAATCCTTCAGAGTTTGTTTAATTAATCTGGTCCTTTACAGTCAGCCAAAAAATGGTCAATTACAGATAAAATGTTTTGAAATTCAATTTTTCCTCAAATTATCTTTTCTTTTTTCTCTGATGTCTACTTGAGAACTTTCTTTTTACTCCTTTTTTTTTTTTTTGCTTTTTAAATCTTTGCCAACTTCGATTATCTCTTGATTAACAACATTTTTCACATAAATGCATCGTTTTTTCGATAGCAATTAAATACATCCCATATTTAATTATTTCTCTTTGGTTATCGTTGGTTATTCTGCTTGTTTTTTTTTTTCTGGGGGGAGTAGATTGCAATAGATGATGATGATAATAATAAAAAATTATACCTCTGCTTTGCTGGCATGCCCATTGAATAATTTTAAGAGTCGTGTTAGATGCTGAGGTGCGAAAAATCAAATGTCCTTAGTGACTCCAAAATAAAAATCTAAATCCAATGCCATTGAAAAGAGAAGGCATACCAAACAAAAAAGTCCCACACGCCTCAACATAATTTTGAAATGCCTTGTGAGATACTCCTCCAGTTTTAAATATAATATTTAAAATAGGTTTTATATTTAGAACTAGACGAGTAGTAATATACTACCTCCAATTTTTAATATCTGAACTTATTTGATTTTTATTTTGATTCTAAACATAAGATCCCAAATTCTCAATCAATTTTATCCCTTGTATTTTTCGTTTTCTTTTTTTAAAAAAGTCATTATAATAATAATAGTTCTAGCTAATACACTTGATTAATAAAGATATTTAAAAATACATATTTATTACAAACAACTAATTTAACTAGTTTCCTTAATCTATTCAAATTAATCAACTAGTTTTTATATTAAAGAGCGGGATGGTATTTGGTTTGATTTGGGAGCCGGAGAGGATAATAATATATATATATATATTTTTATTTTGCTCTTTTCTCGTGTTTGATATTCTCGTGACAAGAAGGATATTTAATACCTTCAAAAAAGTTATGCACATTTTTAACATAATAAGTCAATAACAACAAATAACTAAATAAATTTATAATATTATTAATATAAAAATTAGTTAAAAATTTAATTTGATCTTAAATATAATATTTCAATCTATTTTGTCTTTAATATTTATCTATTTTACCCCTAAATAATTCATATGATGATTAAACATGTTAAAAAGTTTTTATAAAGAAGTAATTTCAATATAATATATGATTAAGAATGACATTTTAAAAAAGACAAAACTCATTTATCATAAATAACTAAATTAAATAATTTTTTAATATCTACAAATTAATTATTTATATTTTATATTAAAAATAGAGGTAGTATTTATTTAGTACATGAAGAAGTGATGGTCTATGGAACCCATACTGCCACACAAGTGGGCTACTGATTACGATTTGGGGGCCACATAATACTTCGCGGAAAAGATCAAAACAATATTGAATGATAAGCAGGGAAAATACTACCATGATCATATTCAGAACAGCAATTATTTCATCTGGAAATTCTAATCTACAACATAGACTTTAAACATGAGTGGTGGCCCGAAAAGGGAATATAGACATTGAATGTTAACCTTTGATGTGAACATTGGCGGTGACACCCTGCATTTTGAAGAATTTTAAAATCCGCCAATTGATGCAAAAACCGACCAACCTTTGTGTTTCCCCCCCGGATCCTTTTGATTCCCACAATTTACAAACAGTTGGTTATCTGACTCAAAAATAACCTATAGATGAGGTTCTTTTACTTGAAAACAATATTCTATACGAACAAAAGAAATATCATTCTATATGATACTACCTCCGGTGCTTAATATAAGAGTTAGTCAACTAATTTGAATAAATTAATAAATTATTTATATTATTTATTTGTAATAAATAAATATTATATTTTTTAAAATATTCTTGCTAATCAAGTGTATTGCCTAGAACTATGATTATCACAAAAACTAACTTTAGAAAAAATAGATAAATATAAGAGATAAAATAAATTGAGATTTTATATTTAGAGTTAAGATAAAAGTCAAACAAAATCTTATGTTAAGAATTAAAAATATCATAAGTTAAAAGGAAAATATCCTATAGGCATTTCGCAAGATGGTGGCATAAATATTTTCACTGTCCGGATGTTATTAATGTTTTTGTTACCAGCTTAGATATTATTATTGTTGAGATATAGTTTCAGTTATTTGAGGTGTCTATTTTTAATAAGGGGATTTTAATTATTGATGATATTAGGCCCAGCTAACACCGTACAAATTTAAGGAATGTTTGAGTAAAATCAAAATCATAATTTTAAAAATATTTTTATGGTATACAAAATAAATATGTAGTGAAATTTATCTTAATTTATAAAAAAAAGACTTTAATATCTATAATAAAGCCTGATGTTTTGGCCCAAAAAATAATAATAATAAAGCCTGTATCTGGATGCTTGATTTATGATAATTTTTCAGAACAATGGGGGGCGGGGAACCAAAAGGAAAACCTCCACGCGTCTCAAGTAAGGCAGCGCGCGACGGCGGAGAGGGGGCGGTGCCATGATGAGGTCATTTTACACTTTAATACATATTAATTGGCGCCACACCAACGAGCACCGGCGTGTCATGGCCCCAGTCAAAAAGTTTCAATTAGACAAGCAAGACCGATTGCCATTTGAAATAGTAAGTTAGGGTTTTAGGGAACAGGAAGAGCACCAAATTTATAATAATACCGGACTTGATTTACATCTTTTTTTTTTTAATGAGCTTAAAAACAAATTCTCGAATTCGTCACATAAAACATTTTTGAAAACACCACCTCCAATTAGAAGTCTGCACCGGTCACCTTTATTATATCTAAAACCTTCGTATAAATTTTAAGGTCTCCAACTGGTTAGGCAATTAACATTAATAGCTAACCATCTTGACACAGATGGATGAGTTAATCATCATCTTCATCTGTATGCCGCCCCTCGATCAGCTATCAGTGTGCAGATTCCCACGGCCATCCATGAAGATATGGATATATGATCATGCTGGCTAATCCTCGTCCAACTCCCCCCCTAGTTCCAAAGGCCCGAGTCCTTGTTCCCCTCATCCAACTTTGACTCGTGCCCACTCAACTTTAGAAATATTTGTTTTATCTTGTTTATAAGATAGAGGGAGAGGATATTTTTTATCCTATTTATAAGACACTGAAAGAAATTTTTTGTATGGATGTATAATTTCACCATTCATTTATTATTATGTTAATTTATTTATATGAGATATAATGTGTATCAAATATAGATAAAATTAGAAAGTTGTTAAATTTTAAATGAGAGTTAATAAAGTTTAAATTTTTTTTTATCTGTATAAAACATGTTAGAAGCTACTTATAAATAAGATTAATGAGTCGTAAGTTATTGCAGAATGTTCCCCCATTTTGAGGCACTTGGAACTTGGTAAATCTTGGACTTTGGAACATGTGTTTAGATCAGAGAAGATATTTTTTTAGTCCTATTTATAAGGTATTAAGACAAATTTTTTGTATAGATATATAATTTCACTATTTATTTATTATTATGTAGACTTTATTTATATGAAATATAATGTATATTAAATATGAATAAAATTAAAAAATTATTAAATTTTACATAAGAGTCAATAAAATTTAAATTTTTTTTAATTTATGTGAAACATATTGGAAGTAATTTTTAAATAAAAACAGAGGAGTAGTAAGTCACTGCAGAATTAGGGGTGGAAACAAGCCAGGCCAGGCTTTGCTCTTAACAGGCCAGGCCTGTTTTGAAGCCTATTGGCCTGAGCCTGGCCTGTGGCCTGTTACAGGCTTACTTTTCAGTCTGAGCCTGGCCTGTATAAAGGCCTGTTAAAATGCCTGTATTTTTAAAAATTCAAATTATAATAATTTATTTTTTTAAAAAGCTAAGATAAAAAAAAAACGTACATAATAATTTAATTTTTAGTCTTGTCTTTTATTTAAATTTTAGTATCATAAGTACTATTTTAAATCTTAATTATAATTTATAAGAATATTATTGAAAACTAATTGTAATTATATATTAAAATTGGAATAAGACTACGTTAAGTACACACAAAAAATTAAAATTAAGACAAATAAATAAAGAGGAAAAAAATACTAATTTTATAATGAATAAAGAGGGTATCATACTTAAATTAACATAATACGTAAGTTAGTTAATTTATCATTCTTGGAACAAAATTTTTCTTTCCTATTTTCTTTATATTTTTAAGATTTAAAAATCACATTATTTATTGATATTATTATTTTAAATTATATTTTTATCTTCACTTGTCATCTAAACTTCAAATCTAAGAAAAGATCAAGCTATTAACTATATATTAAAATTAAAAAATAAATTAAAAGAGCACATTAACAATAATAGCATTAATTAATTTTTTCATATATTATGATTATAAATTCCTGACAGGCCCAGGCCGGCCTAACAGGCTTAACAGGCTTTTTAAAAAGCTTAAGCCTGGCCTATTTAACTAAACAGGCCTTCAAACAGGCCTGAGCCTGTCTTTTTTGGAAAATAGGCCAGGCTAGGCCAGGCCAAATGCAGGCCAGGCTATAGGCCCCTGACAGGCCGCCTGGTCTATTTCCACCCCTATGCAGAATGTTCCCTCATTTTGAGGCGCCTGGGACTTTGTAAATCATGGACCTTGGAACATGTGTTTAGATTTTCATTGGATCCAGCTTCGAATACTTGTCTGGGCCTTTGAAACTTTTGGATAAGTATTCATGTGGGGTGGGCTTCCATTTATTTGCCACCAGGATAAGATAATTTGTATGGGCCTTTTAACAATGAAACTAAAGTATCTAGTACATATTAAATTAAATATTAATCAAATTACGTAAACTGTGGGGAGCATGAATGGCACAGCATTTCGTTCCTTCCTTTCTTTTGATCTCATCCATATTTAATATCATTCCGGGGGGGTCCTGATTTTAAAAAAAAAAGCGACTCCTTTTATTGTTTCTGTGCCTGCATTTACTTTCTTGCCAACAAAGCTTGACAAATTTCCTATTTCTAGCAACTCGTAACATAATTAGCCTTGCCAACTTTAATTTCACTGGCGACTTCATCAACAAGGTTTTGGGGGGGGGGGGGAAGCAAGAAAGGGGAGGCAAGCACGTGACGTGCACAGGAACGCATCTCATGGCTACTCGCCTCAATTCAAAGACTCGAAATTTGGAGATAACAGACAACGAAGCTGACTGGGTTTTTGTTTGGCTAAGAAAGGTTTACCTCATTTAAGAACGATCACCTTGCAGATACAAATACTCAAAACTACTACATACTATTAAAATAAGCAAAATTTAACCTCAAGCAGAATTGTAAATCATAAAATCTAAATTAAAAATCAAAGTTTAGAAATCTTGAAAATTGTTTTTTAATAGTATTTTATATTCTTTTGAAAGGTCATCTTAACTTCATTTAATTTATTCCTATAATAAATAGTCTGGTACGACTATTTTTTCACCAAGTTAAAATCACACAGGAAAATTTCTCAAAATTTGTTTCTACGAGGTAGGGTTAGTTTTAGCTTTTCCCAAAAAATGACAAAAAAAAAAAAGGCCGCTGACATTCCAAAATAATCTGAAATTATGAAAGTATGGAAAAATGATTAAGGCGTCCTCATGTGACCAATTTATTTCGAGTTCTATTTATTTATTTTCAATTCAAAAGTCATATCTAATTATCAATTCAAAACAGTTCAAAGTTTAAAAGTTTTTTTTTTTTTTACCAGCACAAAAGTTTAAAAGTTGTTGGTTCAAGTTCTATTATTATGTATATATATATTATGTCTCTCTTGTTTATATATTATGTATGTATTGATCATTTTTTTTATCTTTTTTATTCTCATAATTTCAGTTTAGGTTTCTCTTTCTTTTTTTTTTTGGGTCATATCATGGCAGAGCATTAGCTGCTTCTTCTTCTTCTTTCTTTTTTTTTGGGTCACCTGCCCTTTCTAACCGCAGGCTCATGTCCTTCCTTCCCTGTCAAACCATGACAGACCCTACGCTCTGCCAGTCTAACCACGATTGTCAGCCTATCCTGCAGCTGCTGATAAGCCTCCAAATGTTCCCGCCTTTTCTTCTCTTTCAGGTATGTTACAGTTATAAATACATTTTACATAAATCATAATTTTTCAATAAAATTTCATATAAGAAAAAAAATATATATATATACACATATATATAAAAAACAAGTTTCAAAAATTACTATTCTTTACGAAGTTGTTATTATAAATTGTTCAAAGTAACGTTTTAGTAATTTTTTTTTTTTCGGATTTGATTGTATTTTTCTAAAAAGAAAAAACTCTATTAATTCACTTTGTATTGGCATGCTTTTACTCAGTCCACATCATTTGAAAGAATCATACTTTTTACTAACATTAATTAATATTATTCCATCCCTGATTATAAGAATTTTTAGGTTAAAAAACAGTTAAAATTAATTAAAAATAATTAATAAGTAACAAATATTTTTTAAATATAATCCTAATAAATATAAAAAAAATAATAAGATAAATAGAGAGAGAATGTATGAAGAATTACATGAAAATTTATTAAGAATAAGATATATAACAATATGTTAAATGTTCAGATAATCTCAAAAAAATCCTTATAAATAGAGACAAATCTATTAAAAAAATCTTATAATTGTAATTAGGAACGGATGGAGTATTATATAACCCGTCCTTCAGTCCTTCTCGCCACCTCTGTCTCTCACTCTCACTCTTCCATTCAAACATCAGTGTCATAAAGTTTACTTCTACTACTATTAATGATTTTTAATTTTAATTAGACAGCCATGCAAACATTTGCACGGATTACTCATCAAGTTATGTAATTTATTAAGATTTCGCCCCCCGAAGCAAAATTTCGGGGCCACATCTCTGACTCAAGTGTTCAGCTGAGCACCCAGAACAAACAACAGCAGCAGCGGAAACCACAAGGAACTGGAACGCAGCAGATCAAAGACAAAGATTACGTTCATTTGACCATTAATTAAAAAAAACTAGAGGATTACGAGCCCGCTTACATTTCTTATTCAAATGAGCCCAGATGTAGGGACACCCGAAGAAGTTACATTCATTATCAAACATCCCTAACCCTCTAATGGCAGAATATCACCTTGAGCTCCCTTGGGGAAGAACACTCGTGCATCAGCGAAGGGTTGTCATGAGCATAAGTGAAGGTCGCAGGACACGCATGCTTGAAGAACTCAGAGTAAGTCGAAGGCTTACACATCTGTGGGCTGTTGTAATGGTTCCTGCAGCACAGCTCGTCCGTCCTAAAAGCCTCGCACCCACTCTTACACGCCACCACCGGACCGTGACCCTGCGGCACACGGTGCTGCAACACCGGAGGACACGTCGCAAGCAGATCCACACGGCAACCCACCACGGGACACACGCCTTTACCTTCGTGCGGGGTCACCGTCATGGGGACGTTGAAGCCGTCCACGAGGCTGACGCCGTAGGAGGAGTAGTCGTTCGCACCATGGTGGATGCTGAACTGAGCCAGAGAAGCGGGAGCTGCGCCGCCAGCGCCGTTGCACTCGAGGCGACCGCCGCAGTCGCCGGTGGCGCAGAGGAACTGGTTACCGGAATAGCTACAGCCTGTTCTAGCCCAGACCCGACCCGACCAGTGTCGGTCCGGTACGGGGATGGAGATGTGAGTGAGAGACTGGAGAACGAAGCCGCCGCGAGAGAGAACGGGGTGGCCGGCGTTGGGTTGGATGGCGGGCCAAATGGTGAACTTGCAGTTGTTGACAAGGGTTAAGATGGTGGCGTCAGTGAGAGTAGTGAGGATGAAGAAGGAAGCTATGGCAAGTGAAAGGCAGCGTGTGAAGGAAGGAGAAGCCATGCTTGGAGTGTGGGGATTATCAGAGAGGCGGGTTGGTTCATTTTATAGAGAGAAGAGCTGTATTTGATTCAAGGTTTTGGGGGCTGCTGCTGTGAAAGAAGCCGGTCAGCAAGAGAGGGACCTGATTTGGGCCTATTTCATGTGACGGAATTGCCCCTCGCTCTTTCAATTTCACTGATGAAAAAGCAGATTAGGGGGGGTGGAGAAAAAGTGGTCAGAAACCTGCGGAACAACTGTGAGACTGCAAAGCAAACAGTGGGGTCTTTAGAATCATTAGTGCTTTGTGCGCGGGAAATGCAAACCAGGGAGCCACCCCCCAGAATCTCGAGGCTTCCACGCTGTTATTTACTAATACAACTATTAAGTGGATAAGTAAAGTAATTAGGCATGCAAATTTAAATTATATCGCACTTGCTGCTTTGCCCAACGATAAGTATGTCCCCTGCCCTCCCTCGGCCTGCTTTCAAGTAAGAAAATAACATAAAATATTTCAAGATGACTTGCAAAAAAAAAACTAGCGTATTAAAAAAGATCGACCTAAGCTTTTCTTTTATGAAGCAAATAATCAATATTAGTTGAAGATGGCGACGAACAAACGAGGGGCAATCGGATAAGAAGCTCGTTTAGCGAGGTAATTGTCGGCCTATCACTTTACTTTTTCTCTGCTGCACAGCCCAGAACTCACAGAAACTTTGCCCTCTGAACGATTGCGGAACCAGTTCCCCGACTATTCATGTATATTTGAAAACGTGAAAGCCAATCGTTTCAATTTTTAATAAGCTCCCCATTATCCAACACCCAAAAATGCTACCTTCCCTTCTAATTGCACTTCTAATTATAATCTCTTATTTATAGTTTACAAATAAAACTTTATAAATAAGACTGGAACTGGTAAGTTAATACAGATTCAAGTCAGCTCATAAATGTAGTATAGCTTTTTTAAAGATATTTTTTACATTTATACAAACTCAGACCCAAGACTTTATGTTCAAGCAACTGCGACTTCTTTCATTGATATCATCGCCAGTTAGTTTAAAACTCCTTTTTCCACAATACATAGAAAGATAAATATACAAATATGTTTTTACATTTACATTCACATTTTTCCTCTTTATATTTTGGATTCTTAATGTTATTAATGTAAACTGGATAAATTTGTCCCAGAGCTAGCTGAATTGCTTTTTTTGCTGGGAAAAAAAATTATATTTTGAAATATTGCAAGAAGAATAACGACAGCGAAAACCATTTTCACATAAATAAAAAGGACAGACACTGATTTAGAGATGATCGAATTTCAATTAGAAATCATGTGAGCTCCTTTCTTGTTTTGAAAAATACATGTTCGGCAGACCATACCCGAACTGTCCTCGATTTGTCCCCCCCCCCCCAAAAAAAAAAACCGAGGGCTCTTGGAATTCATAGACTTGTAATGCCGAGTCCGTTCATGGAAATACCCATGGGGTAACATCAAGGTTTTTAGGCTAAGGCCCACTAAATAACAAGTAGGCCGAAGGCACTTAGTTTTGGGCCCAAACTAATGGCCTGTTCATCCAATCCCCGGTCCAGCCCATTAAATCAAGGCACTCTATAAGCCTAGTCATCATTATTCCCCGAAAAAGAAACAAAATGGAAGTCAAAACAAGTCAGTCACATTTTTTCTCCCACCTCTCCTTCTGCTGAACTTCGAAAGCCATGATTGGTTTATGGAGGACAAAGTCTAAATTACGAAGCAAATCAGGTAATTAAGCTGATCATGATGGTCCTTATTTCATGGGGCCTTGCAATTTTTTTTGTTCTCTTATCTGCCGCGGAACATTTCGGGGACATGTGTATATACTATTCAGTTTCGGTGATATTGTCTTGATTCAATCCTAACTTTAGGCAATCATAACAACAATTGAATTTATAACTAAAGATCTTCATCATGTCTCTCGTAAAAGCTCATCTTGTCTATCACACCATGCCAAGAGCACCCTTGTAGTCTTGTTAGCTCACTTTAAATTTTTGAAAACGTACAAAAGGCAAAGCCAGTGTGCTGTGCCTTCAACTACAAGACAATTTTACTTTACGCCAGAGTGCGATGAAGAAGGATGGCATGCTTGCACTCCAACTTCAGATGTCTAGGTATTTAGGGACATCTCTGGTGAGATATTCTGACGGAGAAACCATTACTTAACAATGAGTGTAGAATATGGTAATAGATTTTGTTGGCCTTAAGTAATTAGTCTCAAATCTGTAGGGCGCATGGCGTTAACGAGTGGAACTAAATGTGCTCAAAACTTGATTTGAAGAGTAAGGAATTGGGAGGGTGGGAGGACAGCAAGGCTAAGCACTCAAGAGAAAAATAATGGCAAGGTACTTGGAAAACTTTGTTTTTTTGTTGGTTATCATGGAGGCAATGATAACTGAGAAATGATAGCAGGTAAGAAGTCAATCCACAATGAAGATAAATACAGATTCTCGATCTTATCAATTATCAAATCAGAATGCAAATACTGGCATAGGATTCCCGGGCATCTTTTAACAAACATTCTCTGGATCAAAATTCAAGTTCGGTTATCATTATAGACCAAAAGACGCAGCACATAAATACTGCTTCATCTCTCACTCTCAACACCATAACTCTGCTACTCTCCACTTCAACCAGTGCCAAAGATGAGAGGACAAATCTTCCTCCGTCTTCTCCTACTGTGTCTCCTCCTTGCAGCTTCTCCGTTCAATCATTTCACTGCCAATGTTCAGGCCATTCCAGCAGGTAATTATTTTTGCTTATGCAGAAAAATATTGACGGCTTTTGCCAGCATTGTTTCTGCTGCGACTAGCTCACGCTCATTTCTCTGTTCCTTCCCACCAGTTCATGTCAAGCTCAGGACCTTACGACCCAGCACAATGCCACATTCTGGGCATGTCATACCTTCCTGGGTTAGTACCAAGACAGGGTTTTGTCATCTTCATTACGTGATTTTAATTCGCTAGGATATATAATTACGTGAAAAGCTTTCTTCGTCAAGAGGTTGACGCCTCCTTGTCATTAGATGGAATTTCAGATTTGCTCCTTGTTAAGAAGTTCAAGCGAAAATCTCTATTTTGATAGCGAAGAGTGTCGCTGAAGAGGTTTATTTCTCAAATATTCGAATATTATCAAATTTTATGTAGTTATTTCAAAACCTGCGAGAAATGATATGTTATGATGATGGAACTCCTGCGTTCGAATATGATAGCTGAAATCGATCTCTTCTATATATTTTGCCATATTCTCAGTAAGCATAGACATAAGCCTGATGCATGCCAATGACTGGGAATTGCAGGATGAAGATAAAAGGACTCGTAAGAGCCCATCAGGCCCGAATCCCATAGGGAATCACCAACCGCCATCTAAAACATAAAGCGATGATAGGATGAACACAGCCATTCGACATCAACGGAGACACCAGTCACCGTTTCTTAGGAGGAGCCTTGGGAGACCCCGGTTTCTAGGAACATTGTGGTTGTACAAAATGGGGTTTGATAATTGAATATTTGTACTTTATAAGTTGTTATATTGGTCATCATTAAGTTTTATCGCATTCAGTAGAATCTAAATATCATTCCTATTTCACTTTCTACTTCCTATCAGCTCGCAAAGGCTCTTTTTTTCCCCCCTTTTTCGCATTGATTCGAATTCCCAAACCTTCACATCTTATCTTGGCCACCCTTTCCTTTAACGAAGTCACAATCATGGTCCATGGAATCAGCTCGATATTCTGCTCATGCGCAGCCATGGCCTCCTTTGCATCAGAAGCTTTCCCCGTTTCTTTATATACTGTAAGTTATAAATTTGTTATGCCTCCCCGTTTCTATCAGAGAATTCATCATCGAAAGACAGGAAATTTACCCACGAGGCAAATTTCTTTACCTACTTTGTATAATATTAGTCATCGAGAGCTCATCATTGCATGATTAAATGACACATTCAATTTGAATAAGCCAGTCCAAAAATGGCACAGGAGGCTAAGATACAATCGATTGTAATATACATGTCTCCTTTCAAACTACAAACAGCCGCATGGACTCGCTTTATACAGTCCGCTTCCGCTTTGAGCGCTTGCTTCTTCTTTCCCTCATATTTGGAACCTCCTTGTTTATTGTTGAAGCATATGCTTCTTCCGCAACTCCGTCACCCTATAAAAAGTTGACTTAGTGTTGTAGACTTCTCGGTGAAAAGAATACAGATGAGAACCCCATACTTCATTCTTCTTTTTTGGGGAGGGGGGGGAGTGGTCAGCATTATTAATTAATAAGATACAACTCAGGCAGCAAAAAATAACGCCTCAGGATGATCATGAAGCACAATTACGTATAGTTCCGTTGAGGAAAAAAAATTAGAACTTGACCCGCTTGTTGGGAGAACAGCAAGGCCTTGTGACAGACAGTGACATACACACCTTCAATCTGAGTAATGGGAAATATGTTTCATAGCTGGGTTCTCAAGTGAAATATCATTTGAGCCCTTAGGAAGGCAGCGATATCTTATATCCACTACCTAGTCCACATATTGTTTTTCAACTCCCCGAATATCTAGTTTGACTAAATTCATCAATTAATCTTCATGTTAGCATAACTTGCAGTATCATGGCAAGGTTTTAAAGTGAGGTGCAATAATGTGCAGTGTTGGGCTGGAGCTGACATCTTAAACGCAGGCAGATGAGCTTAGTTTTGCATATTCTTTGATATTATGAACTGATTAATTTGCAATATAAAAAAAGGAAGTTGGAATCACATTACAAATAATAACAACTATGACTCAATAGAGGGTTTTCTGGCTATGTCCACTGATGCAAATGCAAGGGTTCTCATTTTCTTCATTCTTTAAATAAAAACAAAAAAATGATTTCATGATAAATTGGGAGCTCGGATGGCAGCAGTCAGCAATGACGTAATATTTAAACTAACACCATACAAGATGAATATTTACCTTGTCATCACTCTCCTCATCTGAACTACCATCAGAATCAGAAACAGAAGCCAGAGGTTGAGCCTCTTCTTGAGGCAGTGCCTTGTTTGACTTCTTTTTCTCTTT